CTTCCAAACACCTATTTTAAGTTCCCAGCACGTGCTAAACAACCTGGAGCAGGTGTGGAGTCGTGTCCCCGCCGAGGTCAGAGAGGCCTATGGGCAGCAGTACTTCGACCACTGTGAGTCCCAGTGGGACGCCCCTGGGCCCAGGGAATGGGGAGGGTTCAGCGCCTGTCCAGGCTGCCACAACGGTGCTCAGATTGTCCCCAGCGCTCCCCTGTCCCTTGTGCTGCTCGTTCCCACATCCCAGCCCAGCTGGGCTGCTCACAGCCAGATTTTTTTTTCTGTACAGACTCTGAGTTAATCAGAAAGGATTTCTGCATGCGATATAGTGACAACCTCCGCCTGGTCACCGACGCCATGGAGCACGCGCTGACGGCCCAGCACCCCCGCTCGTGGGCAGACCTCGTGCTGACCTGCTCCCAGCCCAAGCCTGCCCAGGGCATCTAGGCAGCAAAGTCCCTGCGAGCCAGGTGCCACAGAGCAGAGATGCCCCGAGTGCTACTGGGGTGTCCCAGGGCCACTTGTGGGAGGTGGACCTGCTCTTCTCTGGCTGAAATCCAAACACCGCTGGGGCTGGGCTGGGCACACCTCTGAGCACAGGACCTGGGAGCTTTACAATAAGGGGCAGTGGGGAGGGAGTCGCTCGTGTCCTTGTCTTTTGCTGTTACACACCGTCGCCAGAAGAAGGGGGTGTTGGAAGAGTCGGGTAGGCTGGACACTCACCCCGTTCCCTGGCTCCTTGCAGCGGCCTTGCTCGGTGACTCACGTTCCAGCAAAGGGCGAGAGAAGCAGGGGCGATGCTTCCACCCGAGGGATGGGGCAGATGCTGTTCTGTGTGTAACAAAGAAATAAAGGTGGTGGGTGAAAGACCGAACTCTGGGGCTCTATGCGAGTGGTGGGTGCGGGTGTTGTGCGTTCTCTGGGTGACTCCATGCACAGACATTTTAGGCCAGGCTGTTCTCCCTGCCAGTGCAGGTAGTGCCTGAGCCGTAGAGTCATCCTGATCCATGGGAAATGCCAGACAAATCCACCTCCCTCAGCCTCCACCTCGGGCATTTTTCCAGGAGCTCAGCTCTCCTCTCTCCCGAGCCTGGGTCATCCTGCAACATGCATGTAGGGCCTGGTCCTTGGAGCTGGCAGCTGCCGGCACTTTGGGGAACAGGCTTCAATGAAGTCTGAGCTCCAGGGCTAATTGCAGATCAGGCTTCCTCCTAGGCAGGGCCTGTGGTGGATCAGCAGGGGGCCTGCTGTGCTGAGCCACCCCCCTCACTGCACCCATCCACCTCTGAGTGTCTCCCCTGGGGTGCCTCACGTCTGGCCGTCGCCCTTCCTGGAGCACACCCGCAAGCCTGGGGTAACCGCTGCCACCACCCAGGGTCTGATCTTTATTCGGGCCTGTGCCCTACAGGCCTTGTAGACCTTGAGGGTGGCTTGATCCACTGTGAGAACCTGGGGTGCTTCCTTTAGCCTGAATAGTACATAACGTAGCCTCCTTTAGTCAGCTGAGCACAGGGAGCATCTAGGCAGACCCAATCCCTCTCCCCAGAAGCTCACCACACTTGTTATAGTGGAGAGCTTTATTGGTTAAAGAGGGTGGGCTTGGGGAAGGGTACAGGATAGGGAAGGATCACAGAATAACCCTACAGCAAACAGTGTCAGCGTGGTAGCTGGGTGATATGCTTCTACGTTACAGTAAGCTATATATCTAGATAAGTTGCAGGTAGCTTAGTCACTTCTGCATCTTGCGAGAGAGAGAGAGAGAGAGAGAGAGAGAGAGCGAGAGAGAGGGATTGAGAGCTGCAGATGTTCCAGTTGCTGTGTGACCCTTAACATGGCTGCTTGCCTCTCCCTGGGCAGTTGTAGGTTTATATAGTCCTTTTGACATCACCCCTGAGACCGAATTACAGCCAGGTGTTGTGGGGTGCCAACTGATCAATGGAAAAAGAATCACTGCTCCCCTGCGAGAGCAAGAGGAGCTTGAGCCCAGACAGCTAGGCCCACCCCCTCTCACCTGGCCCAGGTCGGGTAGGTAAACTTTTGGATGCAGCATCGCAGTCTCCAAGGCCGCCCATGCTCAGAACTTCCCCAACGGACGGGACCTTGGTTTCAAGCCTCCAGCGCTGACAATGGAGCAATGCTCCAGTAACCAGTGACAGCAGCTCCCTCTACCCCTGCAGCTCTATGCCCGATCCACAATGCCAGCACTGGGATGTGCCCATGCTGGGTCTGTCCTGGTCCACATCTTTCCCACTGGGCAACTCCCTCAGCTTTGAAGCCTGGAACAAGCACACGGGCTGCTAGTGCTTGGGCCATAGTAGCCATTGGCCGCCAGTCCCTTCTCTGCCCTGGGGCCCCCACCATCTGAGCAGTGGAGTGGGCAGAGAGGTTGCTCCCCCCAAGGATTATATCTGCACTTACTCCTGCTCCCACCAGGTGGGGCCCCAAGCTCCTCTACCGCCCGCTCAGCTACCTGTCGACCTCGTGGGCAGACCTTGTGCTGACCTGCTCCCAGCCCAAGCCTGCCCAGGGCATGTAGGCAGCAAAGTTCCTGGGAGCCAGGAGCCGCGCAGGGGAGATGCCCCTGGTGCCCCTAGCTGAAATCCAAACAACGCTGGGGCTGGGCTCTGCAAGGGGCCACGGGCAGCAGCAGCCCACACCTCTGAGCACGGGATGTGGGAGCTATACAAGAGGGGCAGTAGGGAGGGAGTTGTGCGGGCCCTTGTCTTTTGCTGTTACACACTTCGCCAGAAGAAGCAGGTGTTGGAAGAGCTGGGCAGGTTGGACACTCACCCTGTTCCCTGACTCCTTGCAGCGGCCTTGCTCGGTGACTCATGTTCCAGCAAAGGGCAAGAGAAGCAGGGGCGATGTTTCCACCAGAGGGGATGGGGCAGATGCTGTTCTGTGTGTAACAAAGAAATAAAGGTGGTGGGTGAAAGACCGAACCCTGGAGATGCTAAGGGGTTGGTGGGAGGCGGGGTGAGAGCGCAGCTCTGCATATTCTCCCGGTGACTCTATGCACGGGCTTGTTAGGGCAGGCCGCTCTCCTTGCCACTGCATGATAGCCCAAGGTGTGGAGACACCCTGATCCATAGGCAATCCTAAACAAAGCCACCTTCCTGAGCCCGGATGATGTTTTCCCAGGACGTGACCTTTCCTCCCTCCCCAGCCTGGGCCTGCCTGGGACGTATGCACAGGGGCTGCTCCCTGGAGCTGACATCCGCAGGTGCTTTGGGGGACAGGGTCCAGTGAAGTTTGTCCTCCCCAAGCAAGGGCAGATCAGGCCTCCTTCCCCAGGCAGGGCCCATCCAAGTCAGGCAGTCAGGAGGCAGCTCTCACTAGCCCTGCAAGCAGCATCCCGGGCTCCGGCAGGCAGGGCTCAGAGCTTCCCCAAAGCAGGGGCCTTGGTTTCAGGCCTTCAACACTGAGAAGAGAGCTGCAGTTTCCCACTGCGAAGCTCAGGGCCACACACCCGGGACTGAACTCACAACTCTCTCCCCTCCCTCGGGGGTCTTTAAGAGAAGGCTGGATAGGCATCTGGCTGGGGTCATCTGACCCCAGCGCTCTTTCCTGCCCAGGGCAGGGGGTCGCACTCGATGATCTGTTGAGGCCCCTCCCGACCCTGGCATCTAGGAATCTATGAAACTTTCTGGTCCCTAGCTGGCCACACAAGCCCCTTGGCCACAGAGCCCGACAACAGAGTAACGCTCCAGTAACCAGTGGCGGCAGACCCCTTTACCTGCACTCTTCAGGTTATCCCCGCAGCTCTGTGCCCAATCCACCACCGGCCACTGGCACCTGCCTCTGCTGGGTCTGTCCTGGTCCACATCTTTCCCACCAGGCAACTCCCTGGCCTTTGAAGCCAGCACATGGGTGGCTTGGGTCATAGCAGCCCTTGGCAGCCAGCACCTTCTCTGCCCTGGATACCAGGAGGGAGTTTCTCCATGCCCAGGCTCAGGACTGCACTTCCTCCACTCCCATCAGGCTGGTTCTGGCTCCTCCCTGCCTGTTCCCTCCCATGCCCTGGGGCCACCAGGACAAGTGAGAGCTTGGGACATCCGGTTATTCCTCTATGCTGTCCAAGTCAAGATGCAAGGACACCAGGACATGGGAAGAAACCTGCCTCCCTGCTCATCCTTTGAGCATGTAGCTCCTGAGTAGGGGTCAGGCGAGTTTTTTGGGTTGGGGTTTTTTTTTTAATATTTTGGAAAACTTTTCATGTTCCAGGTCGCATTAGCCAGATCAGTTCTGAATCCTTTGAATCGTTCAAAAACCATATGTGGTCCTGCTACTGGCAAGTCCCCTGCACCCCAAGTCTGGGGCTTCAGATACTTCCTACTACTTGACCTCAGGCCTGCCCCCAGGTCTGTCCGACACAAGGAAATCAACACTACAGAGGCTGTTCTGGGCACAGGAACAAACAGAAATCTACTCTTGGGCTCCCCACAGGCAGAAATACCAACACTGGGACTCACGCACACACATGTGTTCACATGCACCGACTGAAGGGCCTCACCTTTCTATCATCACCTGGCTGCTGTCTCAGCTCCCTCCTCCATCGCCTCCATCCTGATCTGGGGGAGTTGTTCACAATTTGCTAATCAGCAGAGGAAGGAGGATGACCCACCGGGCGGGACCTGAAATCCAGGGTGGAGACCTCGGTGCAGATAGCATTTCCCTTCCAGTTAGCCTGCAGAGCACCTGGGAACGGGAGCACTGCCAGGGGTCTCCAGGGCTGGGACACGGATTTCCAAGGTAAGGTACTGCCTGAGGCAGGCTGCCTGGGATGCACTTGCCAACTGCTCCCAGCTGCCACCTCGTCCTGCCATGTACAAGGATGCATAGAGGCTGTTGGACAGTACCACCAGGGTCCGTGAGTT